AAATTTCATATTATAAAATATAAAACTTTTATAAAAATAAAGTTTTTAAGCACATTTTTTAAATATTAAACTCTTGTGTACCGGATATCACTCAGTTCCAGTGCTGCCAACTTTTGACCAGCAAACAAAACTGTTTTTGACGGGAAGAATTAAGAAAAAAGCTAAAAACAAATGTATTAAAGAAGCGAAATGTCTATGATTCCAAATTTTCTATGATCGAAAAATAAAATTGTAACGGTTTGGCACATGTCCTGAAGGTACTTCGATCTACTAACAGGCTCCAGCCGTGCTCAGGGAAAGTGGGAGTGGTTCTTGTACCTTCAGTAGGGACATGGTCGTCACGCGAATCGTCGTAGATCGAATCGTAGCAAAAGGGACTGGGAGAAGGATACCCAAATAGCATTGTGAGGGGGATAACAAAAAAAAGATTCCTTGGCTGAGAGATTTGTTCGAGGTGGCTAAATGTTGTGGCTACATAGGTGGCGAGATTCTATCGGTGCCCAAACAAAATAGTATGAATTCATTTTAGTTAACGTTATAATTCAGGAAAATTTCTTATTAAAATAATTAACAAATTAAGTATTCATGTTTTACAGGAAGGTGGTTTTTATTAACCATAAGAATAAGAAAAAGATATCGAAATTATAATAATTCAAGGGTGATGCTTAAAGATAATAATTCAAATTTGGTGATTAAGAATAAGAATAATAATCGCTTAAGAATAATAATTAAGGAAGTATTAAAATTAAATAATTAAATGATATTAAATGACAGTATTAAATGATTCAAAAAGTAATAATTATAATTTTAATTGAATGGCTTAGAAATAATAATTCAAGGCGTATTCAAAAACGGTATAAAAACTGATAATTATGTTTTTTTATACCCTTGCAGAGGGTATTATAATTTTGTCCAAAAGTGTGCAACGCAGTGAAGGAGACATCTCCGACCCTATAAAGTATATATATTCTTGATCAGGATCACCTCCTGAGTTGATATGAGCATGTCCGTCTGTCCGTCTGTCCGTCTGTCTGTCCGTCTGTCTGTTTCTACGCAAACTAGTCTCTCAGTTTTAAAGCTATCGACTTGAAACTTTGCACACACCCTTCTTTCCTTTGCACGCAGTATATAAGTCGGAACGGCCCGGATCGACCGACTATATCATATAGCTGCCATATAACTGATTGATCGGAAATGGTATAACTTTGGTGTTTTTTGAGTTAGAGAGTTCAAATTTGACATGAGAGCTATTTTTGGCAAAATAATACGACATGCCAAATTTCGTAAGGATCGGCCGACTATATCCTATAGCTGCCATATAACTGAACGATCGGAAATGACCCAACTTTCGTGTTTTTGAAGATAGAAAGCTGGAACTTGGTACAGATTATATTTTTGGTCAGTTAATCCGACCTACCAAATTTCATTAGGATCGGCCGACTATATCCTATAGCTGCCATATAACTGAACGATCGGAAATGGTATTTGGTAGAAATATCAACTTTCGTATTTTTGAAGATAGAAGTTTGGGACTTTTTTTAGATTTTGTATTGTAATAAATTGGATTATATATTCCTATTCCCATAAGGATCGGCCAACTATATCCGATGTTTGCGATATATATCCGGTTTTAACTGCAAGGGTATATAAACTTCGGCTCCGCCCGAAGTTAGCATTCCTTTCTTGTTTTTTTTTCATTTGGTTAACGTTACGTTAGGGTATTTGAATTTCATGATTTCTTTGTCCCTTTTTGCTGGGATAGTTAAGAATGTATTTACGTGGTTTGTATTTTTTTTTTTTATATAAAAAAAATACATAAAAAAATCCAATACTCCACAGGCAGTGGGGGGGCTTTATGCTACCGGCGGAATGTTAACAAAGGGTCGTAAATGTAATCCCTGCAGCTTGTTGACATCTCCTGTAGCAGCCTACCGTGGCACCGTGGTGATCACGTTGGATGGATGCCGGGTGGCTCACGTTGGTCAGGTGGTACCACCAAATCCCCTGGCATCGAGGGTCATCCAGCCACAAAAATCCGCTAAACGGGAAAATAAATGCTAAGCCAATGCAGGGAATGGCGTGGAGCTGAATATTTGCTCACCTCTATTTTGTTTCAAAAAAAAACACACTAATTTTTTTTCCACGAGGTTGGGTCACTGGACTTATAAATTTCTGCACGAATTTAGTGATCTGCCCGCTGCGAGAGCGAGCGAGTCAAACGAGCGACCCCCACAAAATTCACAAAATAATCCCGCAAACTCTTAGGCGTTTAAAGAGATTCCACCCCATAGATCTGTCTTCCCGTGTTGTACACTAACATTGTAACCAAATGTAAATAATTGTATATAGTCTAGGCCCATACCCCATATGTACCATACTCACCCCATCTTCTAAGCGCTCGGTTATGTTCAAATGGTTCTGAACGATTCCGGCGACAACAATAAAATTTAACTTGTTTAAAAAAAATAAATCCATATATCTGATGGAAAAATAAAAATCGTAAATAATCATTATTTTTGATGGCATTATTACAAATGATATATATACAAATAAACATTATTTTTGATTTTTATTTTTTTTTCGCTCAAAAGTATCACTCAGGTCATGATTTCATGATTTCAAATTGGCACCACTGCACAATTTATACTTACTTGATATTTTATCGGTTTTTAAACTATTCATATGTCCAATAAAAATCAGTGTTTTATTTCATTATTTTATTATTATTAATAATATTTCCTTTTATTATCATTAGCAATTTGTCCACTTACTTTAATTAAACATTCAAGTTTTCGACTGTATCTTTATTTTCGATATTCGACTCGTTAAGTTCACATAAATGATACATAGTTATGTATAACTTGGATTTTTTGCTTCGCTTGAATTTGATGTTCTTTTGCCAAAAAATTGCATATTTAGGTATTGTTATGATTAATCATATTTTAATATTTATTTTTTATATGTATATATGTCATATATGTATAAGTACCAACTACAATACTTTAATTTCAGACAATGTGAATTATTTTCCTTTTTTTCGTTTCTGTTTTTTGTTTTCTATTTTTTTTCTTTTGTTGTGTGTGCAATTTATTATATAACATAATAATTAGCAATAATTGATTATTTCTGGTTTCTCCACGACTCGTCGCATTTTTTGAGTATTTACAAAAAATTTAAGAAAAATTATGCTTGCTTTTTTTTGTTTGATTATAGTTATGTGTTACATATATGTATGCGTTTTATATTTATAATTCTTATATACTTCTTCCTAGACACACTCTTCTGGTACGCATTATTATATTATATATTTTATACGACAACAAAAAAAATCCTCTATAATCGTGTATAATTTCTGTGTGTCTTTGAAGGATATGTGATTAGTAAAATATGCTTAAGGCATGAAAAAACGAAAGGAAATAGAATTCTAGAACTTCAGATCCGTAACACAATTCGTTAAAACTATCCATTCCGTTTCCTATAACATATAAATACATTTTTTCTCTCTGTGTGTTCGCTATCGATACACTCCGATTAGGTGTTAATTTATAATCAAGATTAGGATAAGAAGGTGTAAATAAATAATCAGATTGACATATCAACTAATGACTAATTTGGTTATGTTTGCGTGTCTCTCCCTTAAGTATTTTTTAAGTACTTGTTTTATATTCGTGTTTTTCGAGTTTTGATGTTCTTGCGGAAACGGAAATCAATTTGTCAGCTTGGGGCTGTTTTTTAGTTTTTGTTTTAAGTTTAGTATTTTGGTGGGTATTCTACATAATTGTAAATCTGAACCAAACGCTATTAAACAGGTAAGAAAGACTACCAGGCTTTCAAAGACTACCAGAGCGCTGCCAATTTATATGCTAATGGATCCTGCAGTCCATGCCCCAACCATTCAAAAAAAAAAGTGTCAAAACCCCAATTTACTTAAATATATGTATAAATGTTTCAAATCAGAGCGTACATACATACATAAACCATAAGACTTTCTTGTTTTCAGCGGTCACACGTCCACACATGTGGCTGTCGCCCCACGCCCACTCCCTTTCAGGCCTTCTGGCCAGGACAAAAATTCAGTCAACGCAAAATTTCATTTAAATATGCATGAAGTCGCCGGGTTGAACCAAACCGACGACACCGCAATTCAATTTCTCATTTCATTTATAAATTTTTTCTTTTTTCCAGCCATTGTTCAATAATTTTTTTAAGCATTTTTTTGTGCCATTTTTTGTGTTTAACATTGAAGCTGAAATTGGAGTCTATTAAAATGAAAAACAAGAAAGGAAAGCTAACTTCGGGCGGAGCCGAAGTTTATATACCCTTGCAGTTAAAACCGGATATATATCGCAAACATCGGATATAGTTGGCCGATCCTAATGGGAATAGGAATATATAATCCAATTTTTTACAATACAAAATCTAAAAAAAGTCCCAAACTTCTATCTTCAAAAATACGAAAGTTGATATTTCTTCCAAGTACCATATCCGATCGTTCAGTTATATGGCAGCTATAGGATATAGTCGGCCGATCCTAATGAAATTTGGTAGGTCGGATCAACTGAAATATCAAATATATAATCTGTACCAAGTTGCAGCTTTCTATCTTCAAAAACACGAAAGTTGGGTCATTTCCGATCGTCCAGTTATATGACAGCTATAGGATATAGTCAGCCGATCCTTATGAAATTTGGCATGTCGTAATATTTTGCCAAAAATAGCACTCATGTCAAATTTGAACTCTCTTACTTTAAAAACACCAAAGTTATACCATTTCCGATCAATCAGTTATATGGCAGCTATAGGATATAGTCGGCCGATCCCGGTCATTCCGACTTATATACTGCGTGCAAAGGAAAGAAGGGTGTGTGCAAAGTTTCAAGACGATAGCTTTAAAACTGAGAGACTAGTTCGCGTAGAAACAGACAGACAGACGGACAGACGGACATGCTCATATCAACTCAGGAGGTGATCCTGATCAAGAATATATATACTTTATAGGGTCGGAGATGTCTCCTTCACTGCGTTGCACACTTTTGACCAAAATTATAATACCCTCTGCAAGGGTATAAAAATATGCAAGCTTGTTTTGGGGTTTCGGAAAACTTGTTGCGCAGAAAAGTGGGTAATTCGAATCTATGAAGAGACACTCTACTAAGAAAACGAAGAGACAAATTGTTAAACTTATAGAAAATTTTAAAATTTTAATGGGATTTTTCATTTAAGTGACTGGGAATAAAGCTCCTTTTCCATATTAACTGTTGTTGTACAAGTCAGTGACTTTTGGTATGACTCCTACGCCCTGTTAGCCAAGAATAGATCCAGGCTAATTATGCGTCCCTGGCCGGAGTGATCCAGTGAGTGAATGGGAATACAAATCTCGGCTTAAATGCCGCTGCTTGTTAACTGTCCGGCATGTGTTTTGTGCCCCTATTTTGATTTATCATACATCATGGTCACGGTCGGACCTCAATAACTTGTGAATGGTAATGGGCCCAGGGACTGAGGGAAACATTGGCGGACAGAGGGACACACACGATACATTGCTTACAAAAGTTGTTTGGCCCAAAGTCGGGCAAAAAGATCCCGATTCAGTCATTTTCTGGCGAATGGCAGACAGAACATAAACACGAAAATAAATTCATTAAAACATTTATCAAGTTCGACACCCGGCTGTCATATATCATGTTACATTTTGAGCCGAAACATGTTTAATCCGCAGCAACATCGAAAAAATGTAACTGCAATCGAGTTGGTTCAGGAGGGATTAAGGGGAGTTTGGTGTGGAAATAGGTATGTGTATACATCACAATACATGCACATACATACATATGTATATCTATAAAGGTATGTATGCGTCAGGTTCAAAGTTCACTTGAATGCTGTTGCCCAAGTGTAGCTGTTAAATAGTCCACCCCAAAAGAAGCTGAAGAGCCTTTTATTTATTTTAGTTTAAATTGTAAAATATTTATCGCTGATATTATGTCAGAGTCGAATGCGTTGAGGTGTAGACCTGGGGAATGTCTATCAAGTGACGGCTGCCCACACACTTGGCTCCAAAAAACAAGTTCACAGCCCCGACGCCTTCGATTTCGGAGGAACGAAGAGGAGGAGAAATACACCTTATTTACATGTATAACTCAAATTAAAAAATTATATTGAAATAAATATATTTTAAATGCCTGTTATTGATGAATTCATCGAACAAATTGATGTGCAAACCCGCGTGAAAAATCAACTAGCAAAATGTCAATAAACATGAGCATAATTGCTTTCAAAAACTGTTTGCATACAGTTCCAAGAGACGATTTGCGTTTGACCAAACATATGCAAACAATACTTTAAATAGATGGCCGAAAACTACCAAATTGCCAAAAAAAAAATGGAACCAATGGAAATTGTTCAGAAAAATTGTACTTGGCAAAAATTAAAATTGTTGAATCGATGTTTAAATAAAGGGAAGTGTTTTAAGGCGGGGTCCAAAAAAGGCCTGGTGCAAGCCAGACAACTAATGAAAATTATGACTTTACGCATTTTTGGATAGAAATTTAAATATTTTTGTTCCCCAAACAAATATTTGTCATTTTAGCCATGATTCCAAGCCAGTGGTGTGGTTTAATGAACTTGTATTTAAAATGTATATTCCAGTTTCGTAAATTTTTTTTCATAATTTGAATAAAAGCTTGTATTTCTTTTTATAAATGATTTCGGATAAAGCGCGTCGTCTCTACAAATCCAGGGTAAAGATACAAATGTATACTTTTGTGTTTGTTTGTTTAAAGGCCTGCTATTTGGTCACGGCTCATGTGTTGGTTTATGAATGCACTTATGTGTTGATCCGGCTTGTTTCGTCTTCCTACCGCCTTTTGGGAATACAAGGAATTTATGTCGTTACATTTTCTACTTTTTAGATGTTTGCTCATTACTTATCAATATTAAAAAAAATTGTACCTTGACTTTAGTTGAACCCGTATCGTGTCGCGCATCAACCTTGTGCACATCCCTAGCACGTGGTATATCATATTTAAGTCATATTTGCTCGCGACGGCTTCTTTTCGCACTTGTTTTCAATTTATAACTGTTTTTTATGGCATCCATAACTGTTATGGACACCGCCCATCGCCATTGGCAAGTAACTGTAATTAGCATTTGGTGTTTTATGAAGGGGATATACATAATGTTCTGTCGTATGCAGCCTGTCCGCTGTTGACTTTGTTTTAATGTTCTTTGCTTTTCGTCTGCCTGCCTGTTTTTTCGCGAAGTTTACTACTTTATGGACTAGAGAAATGCCCCTGGAGCCGGTGATCTAGGAGTTAATAAGATGCGTGTTTATAGTGGGTATCCGGGGAATGGTGGGGAAACTAATTTGGGGGCTCTGCTGATCTGACTGTCTTGGTTTAATTAATTTATAGCACAATGCCGAAGAAGGTGAGAAATTTGAGTAAACTGTACAATTTATACAAAAACTGATATCTAGCCAAGTGTGTGAAATTGAAATCCGCTCTGACATATTCCGTTTCCGGTTCGATTCAACTGCATTTTCGCGCCCGCCGTTGGAACCGCTTCATGCGCAGCGACCACTCGTCCTTCCACTCTAGGACTACCGAGCTTGGACCGATTGCCAGGTATCCTGGCGCCGCTTCCGAGTCGCGTCCAAGGATCAGATACGATCTGTGGAAAAAGCAAAAAGAGGTGTTACGGTTGGTAAATACATTAAATTTTTAAAAAGTTTTAAGAGTGGAATTTTATCAATTATTTAATGACTTTTATTACATTTATTACATCCATTAGAAGGAAAGCTAACTTCGGGCGGAGCCGAAGTTGATATTCCCTTGCAGTTAAAATCGGATATACATATATCGCAAAAATCAAATATAGTTGGCCGATCCTCATGAGAATATCATAATAAAACCAATTAATAATAATAAAATATCTAAAAAACAAGAAAGGAAAGCTAACTTCGGGCGGAGCCGAAGTTTATATACCCTTGCAGTTAAAACCGGATATATATCGCAAACATCGGATATAGTTGGCCGATCCTTATGGGAATAGGAATATATAATCCAATTTATTACAATACAAAATCTAAAAAACGTCCCAAACTTCTATCTTTAAAAATACGAAAGTTGATATTTCTACCAAATACCATTTCCGATCGTTCAGTTATATGGCAGCTATGGGATATAGTCGGCCGATCCTAATGAAATTTGGTAGGTTGGATCAACTGACTAAAAATAGAATCTGTATTAAATTCCAGCTTTCTATCTTCAAAAACACGAAAGTTGGGTCATTTCCGATCGTTCAGTTATATGGCAGCTATAGGATATAGTCGGCCGATCCTTATGAAATTTGGCATGACGTAATGTTTTGCCAAAAATAGCTCTCATGTCAAATTTGAACTTTCTAACTCTAAAAACACCAAAGTTATACCATTTCCGATCAATCAGTTATATGGCAGCTATAGGATATAGTCGGCCGATCCGGGCCGTTCCGACTTATATACTGCGTGCAAAGGAAAGAAGGGTGTGTGCAAAGTTTCAAGACGATAGCTTTAAAACTGAGAGACTAGTTCGCGTAGAAACGGACAGACAGACAGACGGACAGACGGACAGACGGACATGCTCATATCAACTCAGGAGGTGATCCTGATCAAGAATATATATACTTTATAGGGTCGGAGATGTCTCCTTCACTGCGTTGCACACTTTTGACCAAAATTATAATACCCTCTGCAAGGGTATAACAAGAAAGGAAAGCTAACTTCGGGCGGAGCCGAAGTTGATATACCCTTGCAGGTAAAACCAAATATCGATCGCAAACATCGTATATAGTTGGCCGATCCTTATGAGAATATGATAATATAACTCAAGTTATTATTATATAGAATCTAAAAAAAATCCCAAATTTCTATTTCCAAAATACCAGAGTTGGTATTTCTACCAAAAACCATTTCCGATCGTTCAATTATATGGCAGCTATAAGATAAGCCGGTCGTTATAAAATTTGGTAGGTCGGATTAACTGACCAAAAATATAATCTGTACCAAGTTCCAGCTTTCTATATTCAAAAACACAAAAGTTGGGTCAATTCCGATCGGTCAGTTGCATGGCAGCTATAGGATATAGTCGGCCGATCCTTATGAAATTTGGTAGGTCTGATTATCTGACCAAAAGTAGTTGTACGAAGTTTAAGATTTCTATCTTCAAAAACACGAAAGTTGGGTTATTTCCGATCAATCAGTTATATGGCAGCTATAGGATATAGTCGGCCGATCCCGGCCGTTCCGACTTATATACTGCGTGCAAAAGAAAGAAGGGTGTGTGCAAAGTTTCAAGACGATAGCTTTAAAACTGAGAGACTAGTTCGCGTAGAAACAGACAGACAGACGGACAGACAGACGGACAGACGGACAGACGGACCGACGGACAGACGGACATGCTCATATCAACTCAGGAGGTGATCCTGATGACGAATATATATACTTTATAGGGTCGGAGATGTCTCCTTCACTGCGTTGCACACTTTTGACCAAAATTATAACACCCTCTGCAAGGGTATAAAAAATGCTAGTAGGTGACCAAGTTCTACTTTGTACATCGGTACCTACACATAAAAAATATGTTATTTCTGATACGAGACAGATCAGAAATAAGGTAATAATATTAATTATTGAAAGGATAAATACAATTAATTTAAATCAAAAATAAACAAAAATTTAAGTTGAAAGAAATAAATTAGTGTTATTTCTAGAAAACATAAATAGTTTTTAGAAAAAAATAAAAAATTAATTTTATATATTAAATTAATAGAAAATATTCGATATATTTTATTTCATTCGTTACCTATTTTTTTTTATTTAAATACTTACTTATTTAGTTTTATTTTGGGGCACTGACATTCGATACTCTTGCGGGGCACGAGCAGCATCATGTTGCCACGTCCCAGGAGAGAACTGGTCGTGCCGGACATAGGATTCCGCTTGAAAATCGTTTGAATGTTGATTTCATACTTGTAGATCTCATTCTGTCGCTCTATGGAAAACTTTTCGGTGCTAATGTCCTGGGAGGCACGGTCGTAACCAATCACCTTGGCCAAAATTGCTAAAAAGTTTCAAAAAGTAAGATATTTTTTTATTACAGTTAAAATATTAGAGTGGAAGGTAAATATTTTACTTGGAAACTTTTATAGTAAATAAATAACTATAAATAACTTTTATTAAACTTTTTATTTATTAGTATACCAATGCAGGCTATGTTAATTTTGTTCAGAAAATTGTGACGCGTGAAAGGAACTGGGAAGCAGTGGTGTCATTTCCGCTTTTTTCCCGTCAGATCTGGGTTTTTTTGAAGCGTGATTGCGGGAAAAATATGAAAACAGCGGGCAGCGGAAATTCTGGCTTTTTGAGCAAATTTACGCAGCTTTTTTTTTTGTTTACTTTTTGATGCATTCTCTGTTGAAAATATTTTAAAAATCAAAAAGAAACAAATCTCTCCAATCCTTGAGTATTTTGGTACTCCTAATATAGATAAAATTGAACGACTGTACAACGACATAACCCTGGTAGAGTGGGAAAATGTCGATGATACTATTAAGTTCTGGGCTGAAGTTCTTAAATATCGGGATTCTGGCGGAAACTGCCGTTTTCCGGAATTGGCTTCAGTTGCTCTGCAAATGCAGTCCTGCCTTGGTCGAATGCCGACGTCGAGCGGGTGTTCAGCCAAGTACATTTAATAAAAACGAAAATTCGAAATAGCATGAGCGTTGAAACGTTAAACGCTATACTGAGTATAAGGTCCATATTTTAATTTTTATCTTAAAATTATAAATTAATTTACTTAAAATTTAAGGTACGGGCTGCGTCGAAACAATATGTGCTGTTTTAACTATAATATACCACCCAGCTGCCTATCTACAATTGTAGACAAGAAATTTTATCCAACTGATGATGATGATAATATTGACGACATCTTAAATATAATATAGATCTTAATTTTTGTACATTATTGTTTTTTTTTGGTTTCTTTGTAATGATATCCGTTAGAGAATTACCCATATATTTTATGTTAAGTGGAACTGAGGGCTTATTAGTGAATAACATGCAGTACATTGCCTTATAAAAATCAGTTTTTTTCTTAACTTTTTTTCTCTGGTATTCCGCTTTTTTTAGCTTTTTTTTTTCATTGATCCAGCTTTTTTTGCTCAGAAAAAAGTGACACCACTGCTGGGAAGCCGCTGAGCTGTGCATTTTTTTTTTATTAATTTTATTATTTGTATCTTCATTTTGAAATAATCATAAACCGGTATAACTAAAAAAAAAAACAGAAAAATGTCTACTAAATTTGTTTTTTCTAAGTTAATCAATAATCTCTCTGTTGAAATTATCGTCTCAACCCTTATAGCGTAATCTTTGAACTCTTAAGAATTTTCTAGTGCATATATCATTTACATCAAGATTTTTTTAGTCTGTGGCTTAAATCCTTTAGCCCCACGTTGCTACAAAATCCCTTTATTGATTTCCCAATAAATTATATATATTGAATAAATGGCTCACCATAGTCCTCCATGCAAAACTTGTTCAGATTGAGCTTCCTCGGACTGGCCTTGCACTTGCCGCAGTCTGTGGTAAAAAAGTTTGGGACACAGTCTTGTTTGGGGCACATTCTTGGCTATGTCTTTCAGTGTACTTACATTTCTTCATTTCCTCGGCTTGCGAGCTACCACCGTTCTTGTAGTCCCCGTTTGCGCCGCCTCCGGCGCTCTCGGCCTGGATCATGTTCGCGTTGGTTGGCACTTCTGTGTGTTGGACGGGGATAGAGGCGCGACTTAACTTGGGGTATGTATAAGGGGAGTGGGAGGACTTACTGATGCAGGGCGCCACATGGGAGCGTGTCTGTTGGTAGCCACGGGCACAGCGGTTGCAGGTCAGTCCGGTAACGCCCTCCTTGCAAGGACACTGTCCGCTCAGGTGGTTGCACGTCTTGCCAGTCGAGCCTACGGGGTGGCAGTCACATCCTGCGGTTAACCACAAAAATATGGATGCAATCTTCATTAGAGAGGCATACAGGGCAAATGTACACATCTAGATAAATGGCCTGCCAGACGCCTGACGGAATCACTTATTGATGACTGTTTTTTGTTAAAACAAAAAAAGTATGAAAAGCAAAAGAATCTAATTCCATACTATACAAATGTATAACTCTAAGATAAATAAAAAGGTCTACCTAAATATTTTAACACTTTACATTATTTCTTAAAGCATTAAACATTTATAAAAGACTTATATAACTTAAAAATTATCAAAGTTTTTAAATAACATAGTCCTATTAAATAACAACTTACGCTTGCAGACTTTGCGATGATTTGGCGGCTTGTTGGCATCTCGGTAGTATCCTTCGCGGCAATAGTGGCAGTATCTTCCTGTGGTGTCGTGCTGGCAGTTGTAGCACACTCCTCCAGAGACTCTGCCGGATAGTTTGTAAAGCTCCAAATTAAATCGACATCTTCGGGCATGTCCATTACATTGGCACACTGAAAATAAAATTTTAGAGAAACGGTAAGTGCGTGTCTGAAAGTCTTTAAAAGCTTAAGGCTGCCAAAGAACGCAATAGTGTGCCAACCAAAAAGATTCCTTTATCTACTCCAAAATAGTTTGGCCAAATTACGGTAATGACTCAACGAGCTTAACCCGCTCCTGTGTCCTTCCTATCAGGCATAAGCCATCGTTCTGGTCAGTGAAGCTAAAGAAACCTAAGCATTTAATGGCGGAACTGCCTTGGGTTTCATATTTTTTCCCCGGGAGGGCTTCATAAATAATTAATAATGATAGAAAACTGTTACGTGCTCTATTTTTCCGACCGGTGCGGGGTGCTTCCACCAACATCCCTTCGGCTATGATTGATTATTTTTGTTGTTGCCTTGATTGATGAAATGTCTTGTGCAGGATCTTGGGAGATACTGGGGATTGGGATGGCGGCGACTGCCTTTCGATTTTTTTTATTTATGGCATTCTGATGATTCTGTACACACCCTTTATGTTCATTTAATTAGTTGGACAATATTATTAAATAATTTTAGCAACTAATTGGCAGCACTTGACTGCAATTTATGGTACAGTCTTTTCCTGGAATTGTTTCAGCTTCCCCAAGGTCTCGGGTCTTACTTGATTTTAGGTAAGTAACCTAAAGAAAAAACAGACCACGAACAAGTACACTGTGAATTTTGTTCGAATGAATAAAATAAGATTTTAGTTTATCGAATTAAAAAATTAATAATAAATTGTTTCCGATTTCTCATTAACAGACATTTTCGGGAAAGCCACTTAATTGTACTTATAGAAAACATTGTCGGGAGAAAAAATTTTCCTTCAAAATTTTGGAATTTTCGGATGTAATTCATATTCCTTGTGGAAGGGCACAGCCGTCCATCTCCACGCACTGTCGGCTTTCAAGGGGGTGAAAGCCTTTGGTGAGTGGTGCGACTATTGTGACTGCTGTTGCCTCATATTTTTCATATCTTCTGTCTGCATCATCGCCGATCTGGGTCTGGGGCGAAGAATAAGAAGGAAGGAGCCGGAGGCTGCCTGACAACAAAAGACTCCCCAGGGTCGGAGAGGCATGGGCGGCGGAAGACAACGCGGATGGAGGGTCGTCTATTTGGCAAATAATAACAGCAACAATGGAACAGCAACCGGACAGACGACAGCCAGGCAAGGGCAAACGGACGGACAGACAAAGAGACACAAGTGGAAGAAGGAAGCTTATAAGCTTCCATATATATACGTATGTATGTACGTTGATGACTGAAATATTATCGAACATTATACTTGCAGCCAAGCACTCAGTATGTGCCCCATTCCACTCACGACTCTCGTCATCGTTTTCGTTGCACAAATTAAAATGAATTTTATTTACTTGACACTCGACTTCTAAAACACCTTTTCTTTGGATATAAAATGTCCAAAAAATAGTGGCACTAGACAAGCATAACGCCTTTTGGATTCTTTTCATAGTTTTTGGCTTTCAATTCCAAGATCTTGATTATTGAATTTACACAAAATTTATTGATATAGGGGTTTAAAAAGTAACTGAATACTTGGCTTACCAATAGAAAAAAAAGTAATAATATCTATCATATAAGCAATAAATTATCATATTGGCAATAAAACGTACTAAACTATTGACTATTGGCTCAGTGATGACTATTGAATTCCGTATCTGCCTCTAACAAAGAGCATTTCACGTATCATTTTCATCTTCGATTCCATTGTCCTTTCCGCAATAAGCCTGATTTTCCGAAATTCTTCGGACACAGCTTTTCGTCAGTACGGCTTGTTTACGTTATTGTCCCATATTACTTTTAATGATAACAATGATGATAATAAGATACCGAGGCACCACTCCTTCTGATGGAGATGGAGGGATTCCTTGACTGGCAGGGATTTGATATTCAATGTCGTATTGCCTTTGACACGCATTACAATTGAGTTGATCTGCTAGCACGATAAACTCGAGTACTGTGTGCCTGCACTGATAGAAAATGGGCTGGCTAGTGCGGAAACCTGGGGAACAGATCTCTAGCAGAGCCCCGCAAATATTTCGAAAACTGTCTAAACCAGAAATGAAAAGCCAGCGGATATAAGGCAAAAAGGCACATTTGTTTTCGGAGGACACGGATCGGGGGGTTTGGAAATGAATGTGGCAATGTGGGGGGATTAAGTCGTGCATGTCGATCGATCGATTGACTTAATTGGGTAACAATAAACGCATTTTTACGCCAATTTTTTCACGGTTAATTTGGCGTGGCCCCGATTTTTATTTGTTGTCCATCAAGATGCAAAGATGTTAAGATTTGCATATTTCGGGGGAAACCTCTAAAAAGCTAAAATTCCAGAAATATTTGCACATCTCTCTGGACTGAGGCAAACCGGGGCTCTCCTTTTTTTCTTTGTGATATACAACGAGACAGCCCATGACCCAAACCCTAAAAGAAATTTGCAGTCGTTGGAGAAAAGAAAAGTTCATAATTTAGCTGCAATTTTAATTAAAAGCCAAACTCTCTGTGGAAACTCTCTAGGGAAAATGGAAATGCGAATGGAAAAACGAAAAGTGGCAAAAACACATGCAAACCAACTATAAAAGTGCGAAAACAGCAACTCAGAGTGAAATAAAGGAAAACATGTGAAAATCGTTTTGAACCTATCATTTGGTGGATATAGAGAGGGGATTCGGGGAGGGAGGGGGTACCCGGCGCCGACAGATAAGCCCGGACCGGAGGTCGGGAACGGGGGCCCGGGACCCGGGGCACAGCGGCCGGACTGGTCCAAACCTCCCGTTCATAAGTCCACACGAGTCAAAGAGTTATGTGCCGTTTGTTGTAAAACGGCAAAGAAATTATGGACGAAAACCAAACAGGCCTTATTTTGTGGATACTTCCGAGAGGGGGGATGGCAGGAGGAGGGGAAGTTGGTCATATACAAGGCTATATCCCATGCCATGGCATCTTAAACTGGCAAAAAAATTTGTACATTTTTTTCTCCATCGCTTGCAGCTTCAAAAGAAAAGTGGGAGGGTTTGCAAAGAACAAAACCAAAAAAAAAAAAAAAAAAAAAAAAAAAACTAGACAGACAAAGGGGAAGGAGAGAAACATGATATGATACGATCTCAAGACTCGAGTACAGCCCCATTCTTCCCATTCTGGGATTCCATAAACGGAAGAATGAGGAGCGAACATTGTATCATTTGCCTTTCTGCCGAAAGTAAGTCAGTTCACATAAATCGCCAGGGAAACCGACTTTCTAAAAGATATACGACTCTACGAGTCGTATTTAGGAAATGGGATGTCCCCTTTTGGGATGAGTTCGCCAAACCAACTCACAACGCCACGAAAATAAACATGGCTGGCAGGAAACATGTCTCAAATTATGTCGAGATGTTCGTTACACGGAAAAGCCGTATTTCACCATAAACTATACAATATATTTGATCAGCGGGGAATAATTTTAAAATAAGAGCAATCTAACGCTTTGGAATATACCTTCCTAAAAACAGCCTGAGACTTTATTAAAAGTACGGGGTTATTCTTCGTAAGCATTTATGGTATGTTTTAAACCAGTAATGCCCACAAAAATACATTTAAATCTTAGAATTGTTCGAATAAGTAGAATTCTCCCTTCACATTATGGAGCCTTCAATAATACCAGGAAATCGAAAGAGATTTTTTACTGAGTTTATTTTTAACTATATAGCTCAGGGATCTGTCAGCGCCCCACCACCCTCAAAAACAACAAAAAAACCATATATTTTTATCATTTTTAAAGATAGACCTTTCAAATAAAGTTATCAATATGCGTTTACGTTAAAGGCAGATAAATAAAATATTTAAATTTTACTATGCTCCTTTCCACCCACAAAAATTAAATATGGAGAACAAATTTTAAAGCTAATGACCAAATATTCTATTTCATATTTTCAAGATTTTCTACAAATTTTGTCCAGATTGGATAAAAAACAAGTTAACTTCGGCCAACTATATCCGATGTTTGCTATATGAATCCGGTTTTACCTGCAGGGGTATATCAACTTCGGCTCCAACCGAAATGAGCTTTCCTTTCTTGTTTTTGTTTCTAAAAAACAAGCGTAAAAGCTTGGTGTCATTTTTTCGCCAGTTGACAGAAAAATGTGCCTTGCTTTGCCCAATTATACCCTTGTAGAGGCTATTATAATTTTGGTCAAAAGTGTGCAACGCAGTGAAGGAGACATCTCCGACCCTATAAAGTATATATATTCTTGATCAGGATCACCTCCTGAGTTGATATGAGCATGTCCGTCTGTCCGTCTGTATGTCCGTTTGTCTGTTTCTACGCAAACTAGTCTCTCAGTTTTAAAGATATCGTCTTGAAACTTTGCACACACCCTTCTTTCCTTTGCACGCAGTATATAAGTCGGAACGGCCCGGATCGGCCGACTATATCCTATAGCTGCCATATAAGTGATTGATCGGGAATGGTATAACTTTGGTGTTTTTAAAGATAGAAAGCTGGAACTTGGTACAGATTATATTTTTGGTCAGTTAATTCGACCTACCAAATTTTATAACGACCGGCTGACTATATCTTATAGCTGCCATATAACTGAACGATCGGAAATGGTTTTTGGTAGAAATACCAACTTTGGTATTTTTGAAGATAGAGGTTTGGGACTTTTATTAGATTTTATATTAAAATAAATTGGGATATATTATCATATGCTTATAAGGATCGGCCAACTATATCCGATGTTAGCGATATATATCCGCTTTAAACTGCAAGGGTATATCAACTTCGGCTCCGCCCGAAGTAAGCTTTCCTTTCTTGTTTTTCGCCTTCTTCTCGTTTGGGGGTTATTTTATTTTTATATTTATGTACTCGAATTTTTATTTGGTTCGACAGCGATTTGCGAGGTTTGTGTGTTTTAGAATTTGATGTGATTTGAATTCTCAATGAGTTGCCAGAGTACTCCAGCTTTCTCAATTTTGCCAGTTTTCCAGCAGAA